GCACAGTTGTTGGGCAGCACAAAAGTGCAATCTGATATTCCTGTGAGGGACTGTTGGTGCAGTGCACAACACAACACAGCTGTGCTTCTTTGAGGTGTCTACCGAGTGACCCAAAGAGTGACTTCAGCATAGGAGGGTTAAAAGCAATATCAACAGCAATGTTTTTTCTCTTAATATCCTCTCAACCCGGAGACTGTTATTACATTCCCCCCAACCCCCCCTCCCCACAATGAGTGCATTGGCTCCCTGTTTTTCTCCTGAAGCATGAGAGTCTGCGACTCTTCATTCTTATTGAGTCAACCTTTGCAAAGATAAAACCTGTTTTCCACTGAAGTAGAAAAGTATTACCCTTCAGTTTAGGGTTCATCAGATGATGATCTAAGCTTCTCACCTTGAGCAACTGACTGCTGAGATCTCTCGAGATGGCCTCCACCAATCGCAGTGCTCGCTGGATCGGATACTTGGTGTTGCGGATCTTACGCAGGTGGCTGAAGATGCTGACTAGTGCATTGCGGATGCGATCCAGCTCGGTGGCTGAGAGGAGGTCATTCAATGGGAAGTCCTTCATCAATGGGCTGTAATCAGCCACTGTGGCTAGTGCATGCTTCAGCCCTACAAAAACCAGGAAATATGAGAAACATATAGTCACATTGTTAATTATGACACAAAGATGCTTTTCCACGTACAAGCAAAGCCTAGCTTCCGTATACATGTATCAACATGTAAGAGACAGTCTTCAATAGTATGCAATCATATTGAAATGTTTCATCACGACAAACCTTTTGAAACAACTTTGAAGTAGGTTGTTAGCTTTCGATTTGTTTTACCTAATTTTCATCTTCAAGGGTTTTCAGGTAAATGTGGTTGTATTGAGGGCCGTATCTCCATTACTAGTGCACCTGTGTCTGTGTCAAAGCTGACTGTTGCGTGGAATCTCTTGCCATGCTTCAAAATGTCCAGGGTCAGGGCCACCTCGGGGCTCTCGCGCTTCTCCTGAATCTTCATGAGGGCTCGCTCCAGGTTCAGCCAGAAGCTGATCTCTTGAAGAGCAGTGCCGGAGCCAGGATCACGGTCCAGTTTGGTCACCTGTAGTTGAGAGAGTAAACAAAGCAAAACTGAGAGCTGGGTTGAATTTGAAATCACACTTCCCATAATTTTACAAGAATACACGGGTGTTATATACCCTTCCCCAAAAATATTCTATTCTGAGCCAAGATTCTGGGCACAGTTATATTACTGTGACATTTCACAATACTGTACTGATAAATCTCTCCATGAACTGATTCACTATTAAAGTGAAATCAACCCTGTATATATTTCTAAACTCTTTTATCAGAGAGCTCATCACTGTACAACAAAACTCAGCGATGGTACTTTCTTTGTGTCTACTGTAACAGGACTGAGATATTAAACCCTATTCAAAGCAACAGTGGCTTGGCTCTGGCATCAGTCCATCCATCAAAATAATACAAAACCAGCTGCTTGATTGTGAAGGTTTAGGATAGCTGGGGTCAATCAGTCAATTACTGGTGCAACTTTTTCTGACTTAAATGTATGCAGGACGATGGACATCACTAGGAAATGTCAACATTTTAACTCAACAATGTGTGCATTTGATAGCATGCCAAACAAGTGATACTTGAAGGATACTTCAAACTTTTTGTCTTGAGAAGAAATCTGGAGAAGAATAGCTTGGAATGTTCCTAGTACTTTATGCAAAAAGCAGACAAATGTATTTAAGACCTGTTTTATGAATCTGTGCACAAGTAATTTCCTACACGCAATCTTTTACTCTGAATATCAACATAAAATAATAATAATAAATTGGTGTAGCCCAAGCCACTAGCCAAAGTTGGGAGGGGGGACATATGTATTAAAACAAAGTGATTGCTTCTTTGGGGCAAGTGCGGGGGCACTGTTAAAAAGTCCAGTAACTTATATGTACATGTAACAATGTCTGCAACTTGCCTCCTAAAAATTCTTTTTTCAGAATTGGATGGCGTTTTCAGCTTAACTGACTACCTTTTGGATTTCTCGGATCCATCGATTGACGCCATGCTGCAAGTTGTTGAGGAACACGGAATCTTCCACCTTGTCCATGAAGTCATTGACCTTTGGCTTGCGACCCTCCTTGGCACAGTTCTTAATCATGGTGGATACCACCTGGTGGATAGGCAGGGTGATGTCAGGGATGTCAATGTTCTGCTGCAGGTGTAGAAGGCCCATCTCCAACTCCGCAATCTTCTTTTCAACAGAGGGAGCCATTTTGTCACCGTCTCTGAAATGAAGATAAAATAGAATGTACATGTAATGTCTATGTTCAGAAATGGTTTAAGAGAGGCAGGTCTGGCCAGCAACACACCAACCCATTTAAGCCTTCCCAATAAGGTTAGACCAATCCTTGTCATTATGGCAAATCCTCATACCCTGCAACAAATTTAATAAGTGTGCACATTTGCCAGAGCCTGCAATATTTCACTGTAGAGGCACATGTTTGCTGCCTGCTCTTGAAGTGGGCGAGGCTCATTGGATCACATTGTGTAAACTTCATAACTATTATGGTGTTTGAGCATGACTGTCTTTAGAAGAATGCCCGGTTTGCAACTTGTTTGTGACAATTGGCTGTTTGGAACTGTTTAATGCAGAAGGGATCCTTTACTTACCTGTCCACTTTGCCAGAAGCCCTCACATATGACTTGAAGTAGGGAGCCATCGCATTGCTGACGTAGGCATGAAGTGTCTCAAACGGTGACCCTTCACTCAAGTTGATGACTCTGACTTGGCTGGGTATGGACTTCTCTGCATCAATGATGGTGCCACGCTTCAGGAAAACAACACTAATGAGACAAAGATATACGCGTAAAAGAAAAAGTGCAAATTAGACATCTTGCTGACTGCTTAACTGTACTCTCATGACCATGCAAAACCTTGACTACGATTTGTATTTTACTATCAATATATTGGCAGAATTATTCTCACTTGTAAACTTTGGGGTAACTTAATTACTTTTTCATATACTACGCCATCCTTATTTAGTAAAAAAAAAATAAGGTTAAAAAGTTAATGTGATATATGTTTTAAATAATCATATCATGAAATGTTGTGTTTAATCTTTGTTTCGATATTTTATAACCCAATGAAATAAATCAACAAACCAAAAGAACTCAGAATGGGTTCTCATTTTTCAGTTCATATAAAACCAAAGTCAAACAAAATATTGTGCTGATTTAGCCTGCTTGAGATAGCCAGAGACCACCATCTCCCCAAAAGTTATTTACTGATGTTCTGAGAATTTAGAAAAACCATGTGGACCCAAAACTGTCTCAACTCCTTTGTTGCAAGGGTTACAGCACATATTGGAAGAAGTACGTGTCCAGAAGCATAAGCAGACTAGGAAAGTATTCTGACCGTTTCTTTTGTGTATACTTTATTCCAAATAACAAATTACTTATGCCCGAAGAATGATAAACGTCACTAGATCAAATAAAATAAGTCTTGAAGTCCTAATTTTCATTAGACAGAGCAAATTGAGTTCTACTTTGACATCCTGATGAAAAAGCAACTTGTGCCTAATGTTACTGGGTTGGGTCACAAATGCTTACCCTGTCATTTTGGTGTTGGTAAAGTGAACTTCACTAGAGATGTTGAATGTGACTTCACTTTCTGCATCAGTGACATCAGATGCCACACTTGTCTCATCATCTTCTTCTGTGTGAAAAATTAAATAGAAAGCATACATGTACATGTATGATCCTCCAAAATAATCACTTGCATTAGTACTGCAGTATGTTACTGAATTCAAAGTTTTACGTTACAGAATATAGTTGCGCCGAATACCTACATGTACATGTAAATATGCAATTATTGAATATTCAAATATTTCTTTTGAATTTGAATATTTGCATACCAACTGCATAAAAAAGGAAGAAAATCATTTCATATTACAAAAATCACATTCTGTAGGCTTATGTCAAATTTAAAATGATTCCAGACTTGAAGGCAGCTGATATGCCCAACAACAAAATGTAGAATCCACCCTAGAATTTAAAAATAGATTTTGATGAATGAACGTTGTGAATGAGGAAGTCAGCATTCTTTGTAATGAATATATATTGATGCAAACTTTGTTAACAAATGATGAAAACTTTGTGACATTTCAACCAGAAATCAAATGATTGGAGGTCTGCAGAGGAAGACGGCTGCATCAGAAAAAAATTGAGAACTAGACAAATAAGTACATGCAGTCTCTTGGCGACCACAAATTGTGAGATGGAAGACTTTATTTTCTCATAATTAGAATAATTTCATATCATATCTATCTCACAAATTGTTACTAAAATCAAAACCAGAAGCCCACATGAATACATGTACAATCAATGCAATTACACAAGGAAAGCTCCTTTGATCCCAAGCACTGGTACCAAATGCAATGTGAACTCCACATTGTAGAATTCACATTGCATTTGTAGTCTAGATCATTATTTGAAATGATTTACAGTAACCTCAAGTGTGCAGGTCTAGAGAGACTGATTCCTGTCCTAAAATGGAAATAAAATTATCAAATGAAAAAGATGTTTACAATGAGTTTACCTTCAGTCATTGCTTTAAACAATTGCATGAGACATGCAGTACAGTTACAATGGTTTCCTCTGCTGGATGGAACAGAAACCATTCTGTAACACTGGAGTAACACTTAAATATATAACTAAAGTCAGCAACAGAAGTTAGCAAGGGGATTTGGAAACCATCAAAAATATCTTTAAAAAGATTTCTGGAAGTGAAGTCGCAAAATTTAATTGATGTTTGTGTATGTTTGTATTTTCTGTTTGATTTTTCACAATACAAATCCTTGCATTTGTAACGCTAACACAAAGAAAGATTTTCTGCATTAGAGTCGCCCATATTGCTTGAACCGTGAATAATGCTGGCTGGTCTACATGGCAACCCAAGTGCACGCTGGCATGCATGTACATTTGTAATTAAAACTATTAAAGTTTTTAAAAAGTACATGTTATTGCCATAATCTGCCTTCCTAAGCCTGAAAAGTTGATGTAAAATACTGTCTGCTATTTCCCAATGTATTTTAAGTGTGATGTCACAATTTCAAAATAAATTTATTTTAATCAAAGAAGATCAAACTTTCCACTGAAAGAGGGTTGGTTTAAAGCTCGGGCAAAATTGGAATACGAGAATTACTGCATGTACATGTAAGCTTAAAATCGTGTTTAAATGAGCTGTCATTGTGTTCTGCACAAGCATGTTCCTACACATCATATATACATGTAGCTGTTCAATGTACCTCCTGGCTGAAAGATAAATTACCAAAATTATCAAAGTCATCTTTGAATTTCACAATTGTCAGATTAAATTTGACAGCATGTGTAGAACTGTTGTTTTTGTTGTTACTAAGGAACACCATTTTCAAACTGTGTTTTCTTTTTTCTTGCCGAAAACCCTCAGGATTACCAACGGCAATAATGGCCAATTTAGTTTGGTTGATTGTTTAAGCATGTTTAGGCTGGGCTTTGGAAGCTGATAAAGGCCAGAACCAATGATTTATTTCCTTACTGAAAGACAGGTTCATTTGCAATGGATTTTGATTTAATTAACCCTAACCCCTAGGGTGTATGTAAAATCATATTGAAATTGGAGGATTTGGGACTGTTAGGGTACATGTAAGTAAATCTAATGAGGTGTTACATTAAAACTACAGGTACACATACATGTAACCTCCTTCCCTGATCTTAGGTAATAGAATGCATAATATGGGTTACTCTTTTGTTTAATTAAGTGTATTTATACATGAATGACATCATGCATGCACACAGCTGGCATGTTACATGTAATTGGAAATTTCCTATGCAATTTGAACCACAACTGAAGTGTCAAAGTTTTGTGATTTCAAAACAGCTTTTGTGCAAGTACTGATATGATGAACATCTGGACATCAATATTCCTTAAATTCCCACTGATATGTACATGTACATGTAGGTACATGTTTCAAAGCATCCTGAGAACACCTCTTTATCACTGTCACTGTATTGGAATTCGTATCACACAACATGGCTATTAATACTGAGTACTTGAAACAGACACAAAAGACTGATTCAATCAGGTACCATACATGTACACTGTGCGGTACATAAAATACAACAAATACAGGTAAAGTGAGAAAACTAATATTACTCTTTCACACTACAATAAACATGTACAAAGTAAATTGGACTAATCAACAGGACAAAGTGAGGGTCTAGGTCTCAATCTAAAACACAAAAGTCTAAATTAGTCCCAGTGTCTAACACTGAACAGGGTTCTGCCCAGGATGGTTTTAGGTCCGT